GACTACATGGGAGTCCAGCGACATAGCCATTACACCATCTGCTGGTCCCTAAAATGTTATCAATATGGGGCCTTTCGCTCGTTGATGCCGCCGAGGTCGCATGCGCGAGGAGGCCTGTCCGCTGCTGCTGAGATGTGCTACGGCGCCTCCTACCTGCTGGCCACCCTTGGGGGCAATACCTCCTCCAGCACCAAGGACATCAAGAAGATCTTGGACAGTGTGGGCATCGAGGCGGACGACGACCAGCTCAACAAAGTCATCAGTGAGCTGAACGGAAAGAACATTGAAGACGTTATTGCCCAGGGTGTTGGCAAGCTGGCCAGTGTGCCCGCTGGTAGGGCTGTGGCTGTCTGAAGCTCCAGGCTCTGCAGCCCCTGCTGCTGGTTCTGCCCCTGCTGCAGCTGAAAAGAAGAAAGATGAGAAGAAGGAGGAGTCCGAAGAGTCAGATGATGACATGGGATTTGGCCTATTTGATTAAACTGCTGCCTTACAAATAAAACCTTTTTACATATAAAAAAAATATATGGGGGCCAGCAGGTGGTGTGGTGGTTAAGGTGCTGGATTTCCACATGGCCTACTGTGGTTCAAGTCCTGGACCTGGGGGCTTGAAAATCATGCTGGACAATGTGCATCCATGCCCTAAATCCTAGGAGGATAATGAAAAAGAGGATATTGAAGCACGGCATCCCTTCTGGGGAGTGATTTCTCACTTTCCTTCTTATTGTTTCTCTTTGTGGCGAGTACATGTGCTCTATGGCCAAAACCTTAAAAAAAAAGTTATTAATATGAAGATTTTAGAAAGTGCATGCTTTTTTCCCTCTTCACAAGAGGGAGAGAGGCAGAGACAAAAGGAAAGAGAGAGAGAGAGATAGGTGTTTTTGATGGAATCTCTCTGTGCTGCAATCCTCCTGCCTTGGCCTTGCAATTACTTGGCATTACAGGGGTCTGTACAACTCTGCCCAACAAGTTCAGGTTGGCCTGGAACAGAACCCCAACTCCCTTCAGCTTCCAGCCTCCTAAGTGATAGCATGACAGGCACATTGCTGTAGCTGGGCTTACAATGTGTATATTTCATGGGATGTCCTTGAAAATTTGTGCTCTTGTTTTTAACTATATGTTGAAACTCAGAAAACAATGACCAAAATTCTTATGAAATATTTCCATAAGTAAGTTGGTTGATGATAACAAACAACAGCAGTACAGAGTTACTAATCTTTCCTTATGTTTCTTTATTTCTTTTTTTTTTTTTTTTTCCTGCAGGGCATGTGCACTCTCCAGAGAGACAGAGAAAGGGAGAGGAAAGTAACCCTCCTTTGGTAAATGGTCATATTGCAATCCCTTCTCCTGATTTCTTGCTCCTTTTGGGATCTGGGGCATGTGTGCCTGGTGTGTTTCTCAAGCCACTGGGTCCAGGGCTCAAACTGCATGGTTGGCTTTGTGGGATCTAGCTGCCTTAACCACGAGGCTATGGAGTCAGCTCTGAAGTTGTCCGTCTTAGTGTCAGTTGTAAATATTTATGTGGTCACAACCTTACTTCTTTAATATGAATGTAGCATTTTCTAGGCCAGTGGTTCTCTTTTTTAAATTTAAGTTTATTATTATCGTAATCTTTTTTATGTTATATTGAATCACGTATATCTTTACAGTGTATTACATTTCTTTTTCCAGCATGATTACCATGCATAACAAAGACATTACTATCCACATCATCATCATGATCATCAAATAGCTTTTCATAATTTTTTTCCAGATTATTATTATTATTATTATTTATTTATTCTCATTATTTTTTAAACATTTAATCACTATATACCATTTGGCTTGTAAAGAGAATTTACCTAACATGAAATACTTCTAAGAGCAGTCCAGTTGAGATACTTGTTATGACCAACAGGGAATAAACCATTTCTGGTCCCACTAATGTCATGTCTATTTGTTCTCTTGCTATCCTTGTCTATACTCTTCCCTTCTCTCCACTCCCATCATTCCACACTGTCTTCAGCATACATAACTATTTTAACTGCTTTTATGCCCTCCAATATTTCTTCTTTTCAGAGACAGCAAGCGAGAAATCACCTCCCAGAGGGGATGGCCACACTGCAATCCCTTCTCCTCTGTTCTGCTCTCAGGATTTTGGGAACACACACACACATGCCTGGCATGAATTTTAAGCCACTGGGTTTGGTATGTGAACCATGGTTGACTATGTGGGAGTCCAGCAACTTAATCATTACGCCATCTGCTGGTCCTTCCTCCATGATTTTATACCTTCCAATTTTTCAGTTTCTGTCGTAGAGTGCAGAAAAATTTGGTACATATTAAGTAGGGACATACAGTGCCTTCTTTTGTAGTCTGGCTGGCTTCACTTAGAATTAAATCTTTCATATTCTTCCCTTTCTATCAAATGCCAGTGTCTCATTGCTTTTTATGGCTGAGTAGTAGTCCAAAGTGTATATGTGCTACACTTTGTCAATATATTCTTCTGTTCTTGGATATTTAAGTTGATTTCATGTTCTAGGAATTGTGAATAAGGCTGCAATAAACTTGGATGTACAAGTGATTTTTTTTTTTTTTTTACTGAATGTATTCCTATCCTTTGGATAGATACCTAGGAGTGGAATTGCTGGATCCTGTGGTAGTTCTATTTGTAGGTGTTTGAGAAACTTCCATATTATTCTCCACATTAACTACTAATGTACATTCCCACCTATAGGATAGGAGAGTTCTCTTTTCACTGCACCCTTGCCAGCACTTATTATTCTTTATTTTTTAAATCTTAGCCATTCTGATTGGGGTTAGATGGTATCTCATTGTGGTTTTGATTTACATCTTCCTTAATGATAGGGGATTTTGAACATTTTTTTCATATTTTTTTGGATGTGCATATGTCTTAGAGAGTTGTCTGTTCAGTTCATTTGCCCATCTTTAATTTGTATTGAATATTTTTTTTTTTTTTTTTTCAGGTAAGCTGCTTGAGTTCCCTGTGTATTCTGGTCATCAGTCCCTTGTCTGAGACATATTTTACAAAAATATTCTCCCATGCTGAGGGTTGTCGATTCACACTAATTACTGTGTCGTTTGCTGTGCAGAGACTTCTAAATCTGATATAGTCCCACTTTTCTATTTTAGGGATCTTTGCCCATGCTCTGGGAGTCTTATTTTAAAAGTCTTTGCCTACCCCAGTGTCTCCCAGAGTTTCCTCAGTATTTTCCATCAGTAGTTTTATAATTTGAGGTCTTAGGTTCAGACCTTTGATCCATTTTGAGTTGATTTTTGTTAATAGTGAAAGATAAGAATTCAGTTTCATCTTCCTACAGGTGGATACTCAGATTTTCCAGCACTGTTTACTAAAGAGGTTTTCCTTTTCCCACTGGATTGACTGATATCTTTTGTCAAAAATCAGCTGGTTGTAAACTTTGGGGTTTATTTCTGGGGTCTCTCTTCTATTCCATTAGTTCACTTGTCTTTTTTTTTTTTTGAGAGGTTTTAACTATAGGGTGCATGTGCTTGCCAGACAGACAGAGAGACAGAAAGCGAGAAATCCACCCCCAGGGGGAATGGCCACGCTGCAATCCCTTCTCCTCCATTCTCCTCTCAGGATCTTGGGCACGCACGCACATGCACCCGGCGTGAGTTTAAGCCACCGGTCTGGGACTCGAACCGCTGTCGACTACATAGGAGTCCAGTGGCATAGCCATTACGCTAACTGCTGGTCGCTCGCCTGTCTGTTTTGTGCCAATACCATGTTGTTTTGATTATCACAGCTTTATAGTATATTTTGGGGTCACCCACTCCACTCTTCTTGTGTAGGATTGCTTTGGCAATATAAGATCTTTTATGATTCTAAACAAATTCTATGATTTTCTTTTCTAGATCTGTGAAGAACATCTCTGATATTTTGATTGTAATTGCATTATATATGTAGATTAATTTGGGTAGAATTTTCATTTTGATTATGTTAATTCTTTCAATCCAGGAACATGGGATGTCCTTCCACTTTTTTTTATCTCACTTTCAATATCTTTTTTTAAGATTTTCATAGTGTTCTTTGTAAAGGTCTTTGACTTCCTTTGTTAGGTTTATCCCTAGGTATCTTACACATTTTGTGGCTATGGTAAAAGGGATTCCTTTCTTCAGCTCTATTTTGTTCAACTTGTTGTGCATATATAGAAATGCTATAGATTTTTGGATGTTGATTTTTTTTTATCCCATCACTTTACTGTATTCATTTACTATTTCAAAAAGCTTTTTTTTATGGAAACCTTTGGGTCTTCTAAGTATACCATCATGTCATCTGCAAATAAAAATATTTTCAACTCTTATTTGCCTATGTGAATGCCTTTTATATTATTCTCTTTTCTGATTGCATTGGCTAAGACTTCCAGCACTATATTAAAAAGTAGTGGAGAAAGTGGGCAGCCTTGTCTAGTACCAGTTTTTAGTGGAGAAGTTTTTAGTTTTTTCCTATTCAGTATAATGTTAGCTATAGGTTTTTCATAGATGACTTTTATTGTGTTGAGAAATGACCCTTCTATACCAATATTACTGAGAGTCTTAATCATGAAAGGATGTTGTATTTTATCAAATGCTTTCTGTGCATCAGTTGAAATTATCATACTTTTTAACATTTCTTTCTATTAATATGGTGTATTATATTTATGGTCTTGCATATGTTGAACCACCCTTGCATCCCTGGAATAAAGCCTATCTGATCGTAATGAATAATCTTTGTTACATGTTGTTGTATATGAATTACAAAATATTTACAAAAATATTCTCCCATTCTGAGGGTTGTCGATTCACACTAATTACTGTTGTCATTTGCTGTGCAGAGACTTCTTAATCTGATATAGTCCCACTTTTTTATTTTAGGGATCTTTGCCCATGCTCTAGGAGTCTTATTTAAAAAGTCTTTGCCTACCCCAGTGTCTCCCAGAGTTTCCTCAGTATTTTCCATCAGTAGTTTTATAGTTTGAGGTCTTAGGTTCAGATCTTTGATCCATTTTGAGTTGATTTTTGTTAATGGTGAAAGACAGGGAGAATTTTTTCTTGTTGAGAATTTTTTTTGAGAGGTTTTTGCTATGGGGCGTGTGCACTAGTCAGAAAGACAGAGAGAGACAGAGAGACATAAAGCAAAAAATCTCCCCCCCCCCCAGGGGGGATGGCTATGCCTCAATCACTTCTCCATTCTCCTCTCTGGATCTTGGGCATGCACAGACATGCACCCGGCATAAGTTTAAGCCACTGGGTCTGAGACTCAAACCGTGGCATGTGTTTGCATGCCCAAAACCCCAAAGAGGAGAGTGGAAGCAAAGGGATTGTGGGATGGCCATCCCCTCTGGAGGATGATTTCTCCTATCCTTCTTTTTATCACTCTCTGGCAAGCATGCCCAAAACCCCAAAGAGGAGAGTGGAAGCAAAGGGATTGTGGGATGGCCATCCCCTCTGGGGGGTGATTTCTCCTTTCGTTCTTTTTAT